ATGTAAATTTGACTTTGAAATTGTAATGCTAATTTAGTTCTTCATAATTATGACTATTAGGTTTTAAATAATTCATTCTCCCTCCCCGCTGGATTACATACTTCAAAAAGAAAGCTTTGCTAAAATTACATGCTCTTGGATCTGGTAGTTTACAGACCTTGCTCATAATGCATATGAGACTATGGTCTACTTTCTTAAGAACCATTTAAAAATATTTCTGTAAAATACACTGCTATGATTCAGACCCTTGAGGGAGCAATAGGCATAATCGGTTCCAGTTTCTGCTTTTCACTTGCATAATTTAACTGACTCCCTTGTCCCTCAAGTAAAATGAAGGTGCTCTTCAAGCTGGACTGGGGTGTAGCTTGGCATTGGAAGCAACTGCTAGAAAACTAAGGCAGACCTGGGATACAAAAGAGAACAGCATGAATGGACAGTGGCAGCTTACACACAGCACAAAATGAGGGTTGTAAGGTAACTCAGCACATCAGGCTTTGATAGACTATCCTGTGCGATAACACCACTCAACTCAATAACCATCCCTAATCCATTTGTGAGAGATAGGTCCAAGGCTACACTCGGGATCACGCTTGTCTGCCTTTTCTCCAGACATTCCGTAAGGGTATTCCTTCAGCGACTACAACAGCATGCTTCCTTTGCCTCACATTAGCAATTCACAGGCTCTCCAAAAGTAGTTTGTGAAACACTGAGTGAAGTGCGGGCAAAGCAAAGCACTCGGACATGTTAAGTGTCACACATTGTGCTCACTGCCAGATCACACTGGCAGCAGAGTACCATGACCTCTCCTCTCTCACATCTCAGCCGATGGCCATCACTGGTCAGGCTTTCTATCGCAGTTCCCAATGTTTAGCTTCTCATACATTGGATCAAAGAAAGAGTAAGAGCTGGTCAGACTTATGGTTGCTTTGGAGACTGCTCTTGCGAAGCAATAAAAACACAGCCCAGTTCAATACATAGATTATAATTAGATCACAGAATGGTATCACAGAATGGTAGGGGTTGGAAGGGACCTCTGTGGGTCATGTAGTCCAACCCTCCTGCCGAAGCAGGGTCACCTACAGTAGGTTGTAGAGGACCTTGTCCAGGCGGGTCTTGAATATCTCCAGAGAAGGAGACTCCACAACCTCCCTGGGCAGCCTGTTCCAGTGCTCCGTCACCCTCAGAGGGAAGAAATTCTTCCTCATGTTCAGATGGAACTTTCTATGCTTCAGTTTGTGCCCATTGCCCCTTGTCCTGTCACTGGGCACCACTGAAAAGAGCTTGGCCCCATCCTCCTGACACCCACCCTTCAGATTTTACAAGCATGTGCTCGTTCCCAATAGGTACTTAGCAGATGACAGAGAAACGTCATATAATTTTGTTCCCTAAAGAATGGAGTCTAGAATCCTCAGCTTGAGATAAAGCTGCAGATCCATTCCTGGATGTCTGCAACAAATGAGAGGGTCTCCTTTATTACCTGGACTCCACGTTTGATTATTGTTAATCCTACATGGAAATGGAAATCACTGCAATGAGAATGCAAAATGTGTACACAGGGACAGCTAATAGCAATGCTAATTAGTATTATATATGAGCATTTAAATTAACTAGTCATTTGCGATATGTTCTCACAGGCTCACCAGTGCTCAAAATTTGCCTCTCATTTACTGTTTCGTCCTTGTCTCAGGGCATGATGGCACTGATTATTTTGGGTTACTTCAAGTGCCTCATTCTGGATCTGCAGATCTCACACTCTCACACAGCTCCAGTGCAAAGAGGGCAGCTTCTGTTTCTGCACGCAGCCATTAAATAGGTTGTCATTTGCATCTATTTTAAAGACTACTTCCAGTGAAAGTCTGGGAATGTTCATTAATAAAAATGCAGACTGCATTTCTCTTAAATCAATTAAAATGGTGAACGTCATTATAGATTTGCTCAGGTAAACAGAATTTACACATCAGCTGGCCTCACAAGAGGCCCTTAATTTTTTTATTACTTTTTTTCAGTTAACTCCTTGCATGCTCAAATAATCCCTATTTATACAGAGACCCACTTATCTTCAAACAAACACATCCCTTTGATCTGAGCTTCTGTCATTCCTACCTTCATGGATGAAAAAGGCAATAGATCTTAGTGCATAGCTCACAAGAGCTTTAGAAATCCAGCACTCGAAAAGAAAAATTCAGAGAAATTAATCTGTAACATTCACATGAGCCGAGCAGTGGCGTTTGTAACACGGGTTCATCGTTTGCCCCATGCGGGGAATCCTGTTTGAACACCTCTGGAAGTGTCAGTTCCTCTGCAGCAGAGCTTTCCCCTGGCCAGCTGGCTGCTGACCTGTGGCATGTACTGGTTCAGCCGAGCAGGGACTGATCTGCTCTAATTCCCTCTCTCTGGAGCTTTTCTTTCCCACCCAAGGGCATATACTGTGAGCACACAACTGCCTTCAGAGGAATTTAACATACATATTGTGCACCAGATAAATGAACTGACTTGAATGCCAAGATTTTGTACTCGATTCTATTCAAAGGGTCTATTAATTCATCCTGTTGCTCACTGGGTAAATTATTCCACTTGCTACAAAAGCGGTTGGTTTAGCATACTTTTGTTTGACTTGGTAGAGCGCTGGATGCGCAGCGCTTTTGAATAAGGCCATTCATTTACTGCGCTACTGAGCTAGCTGCTGGTACCGTACCGGTATTCACCCTTGTCTCCAAATACCGTGGAAATAGTCCCTGGGTTCTAGGCTTCTAAAATCTCATGCCTAAAATTTGAATGTAAATAGAAGTCATTAAAGCTATTATAAAAATATGTGGCCGCAGTGGTAATTTAGGTGAACGATGTGGAAGGAGGTTTGACCAGGAGGACGGCTGTGAGGAGGGGAATAAGCAGCAAAGGAGACTGCCAGGGTGGCGGGGATCTCCCCGTTACCTGAGGATAACCGAGGTCCATGGGTGGAGTTTTGAAGTGTTCATTCCCATGCAATTGTAGCTACACAAGCAGGGAAAAGGGTAGGAAGAGGAAGGAAGCAAAGAAACCAGGAAAAAATTTTAAAAAATAAAGGAGAGAAAAGTTTCCTCAGTCCACACGGGAGACGCACCCCAGGATCAGCACTTCAACGGCTTCTCAGGCCCCAGGACTGAGCCCACCGTCATCCAGGGCAGCTCTGCGAGGCCCCCGGGGACAGCCCGGCCCAGGGCCTTCTCCCGGGCCTCAGCCTGCCCGCCGGGGCCAGCCGCCCGTCTCCG